CAAAAAGATGTTCAAATTAAATAATATTCAGCAGTGCTTGGTTTTTGCTTTCCTTATGATGCAGACAACACCCTTCTGTCCTTAAGTACAGCCTGCCCTGTAAATAGCACACCCACCCTGTTGACAATTTGCCGTGAAGCCAAGAAGCTGCCTCCATACTTGCCTGTCCACTTGTTTTCTAGAGGTGACTTCATGCTGACCAAGCAGTGAACTCATGAGAACAGTACCAGGGCACACCACTAAAATGTGGGCAGTACTGATTTTATAATGTCTACAATAAGATTGTGTTTTCCATTAAATTATCATGTTGTGGTTGATAAATACACTCAGATATTTTTCTTCAGCTCCGTTTTGTAGGAAAACCTTTCTGGGAGGAAAAGGTTCAGATAAACTATGTTTGAAAGTAAAATTACTAAATGTTTGGCCTCACAGCTTGCGTGTAGAATTTATTTTTCTTGCTTACATGTTCACAGGTGTTCGTGCTTTTAGTGGTTCCCTAGTATACATTTTATTTAATTAATTTTTTATTAATTCCATTTGATGGAGAAATAATTTTAGGGACCAAGTGAATTTGTGATAATGCAGCTTTAATTATCAAAGGACTTAATTATTTGACAATATCTTGATTCTACCTTAATAAGTGATGAAACTATTATTTGATTCATTGAAAGATTTATCCCCTGCTCCTTAATTCCAACGTTCTGTTCACAATACCGGGAAAAAATTGCAATTTGTACATTAGCTACATGTTTATATCAAAGTGAAATAGTTATCAAACCTGTCGTCTCAGTTGGTCTGAAAACATTCAAAGTTTGTGCTGGATAATCCATCTATGCATCACAGCTGGTACATAGGCTTCTCTTCGTGCTATGACCTACACATATTTGTCTCTGAGGTGAGGCATACATAATCCTTCATAGAGAAGCTGCTGTCCGTCTGTCTCTGAGCAATTGCACATGCTGTGCAGAACTCATAGCTGAGCCTGTTTCTGTTTGTCAGAGCTCTAACAGACAAGTCTCCCAAGTCTCTATCTGAGATAGTGCTTAGATCCTCTTGATGGTTATGCCGATATGACCATCTGCCTCTCACTTAGCAGGTATAAAGACAGTCCACGCGTCTGTCTGTCTTTATCCACATCATGCCAGTCTGTTTGTTGTCTGACTCTATTTATTGGCAGGGTGCTGCATAACAGCTTTCTACTGGAGCACATTTTCTCTTTCTTTCTATCTATCCAGATTTCTGCATTTGGAAAGCCTTGATATTTATTTTGCCGTTCCCTGTAAGAGATGTGTAGATTGTCACTTTAAATATCTTACTAACTTTCATAGCTGGCCAGCATTACTTACATAATCTTTTCACAAGATACTCTGAGATAACTTTGAACTTCAATATAATTATGACAGCTTTTCAAGTATTTATTATTTTAAAGAGACCTATGATATTGACAACAATCCTGCCGTTAAATATGAGTATTATTTAATCATGCAAACAGCTGAACCGTTTGTGCACACACAGGATGTCACACAAAGTATTGTTCCTGATGAAGTATTTTAAAAGACGTTTTCTCTAAGAAAGACAAATTATGTCTTAAAAGGCTCATAAAGCAGGAACTGTAAGTACTGGAAAATTATTTCACATATTCTTAATACATTGATCTTTAGAGTCCTTTGAGGTTGTTAGCAAACATAGGCATAAATCTCCTTTAATTAAAAATACATGCTTTTCGTCACAGAATATACATAGAAAATGAACATATGTAGTGTAAATAATGTGACAGTGTGGATGTCAAAGGAAGATGTGGCATTTTACAGTGACTCAGTGTGCACTGGGAGAATGAATAGAGATTTCAGTATTGATCCAAGAATTTAAAACTCATATAAGGGATTAGGCTTTAATTATGGACCATGTATGAAAAAATATCTGTGATATAAAGTGGTACTGTACATAGGTTACTTCAATCTGCATGACTGGAAAAAGCCTTCTAGTAGTGAACAGCAGTGATCACCTTATTTAATCAGTAAAGCAAATCATTCATGATAGCAACTTTAAATCTGACTGAGTAACATATGAGCAGCAACCTGTGGGTGTGAATGAAATAGATATAGTGTTTTTTCTAACAAGATCATTTATGCATGTAAGAGAAAGTTATTAAGCATTAAAGCAAGATTTACCAATCCAGTATAAATACTAATTGAATAAATTCAAATTTAAATATGTCATAAATGCTGTTTTAAGCCACGTTTTTAAGATTTTTACTATTTCATTTTATTTTTGTCTTTTGTTTCTACTAAACTGGTTAACTTTCCAGCTTCTGTTTTTGTTCTCATTAAAAATCTTATTCTGTTTGACTTCTTACCTAAGTTTCCGTTGGAGGAATATCTGGGTGGGGCTGAGGAATTGGTGTTGACTGAAGCACAAGATCTGGTCTTCGTTAGTAACACAAGACATACGGTGTACTGAAATAACTAGTTTCAAGTGGGTGTTTAGTTGTTTATACAAAAACTCTTTTAAAGTGTTTTTTCCAGGTGTTCATTGTTTCATATTGGAGCATTTCACCAGCTGAATAAGCTCTGATTAAACTTTGTATATTTACTTTAATTTGAGACATATGACCACAATCACCACCTAGGCATTTGAAGTGAGTTAAAAGCACCATGTCAGGGGACTGAAACACAGAAATAGACCATGTATTGTAGACTTAAGGAGACTAATAGAATTCAAAATGGTATGAAATAGTTATGTTCTTTCCACCATGCAATTGCTACCATACTATAGATGTAATGCATAAAATTGAATATTCACTGTTTTATTTTACTTATTGGGTGAAGATTATAACAATCAAAGCATAATCAAAGTGATAATGGTGTGGTACCTAATGCCCCTCTAAATCTGGATAAAAGAAAAAAATTTTGTGATTTGTGAAAATAAAAAAAAGTGATACACAATTTTAACTTAATATTTTATTTAAAACTTGAATGCTGAGACTGCAGGCTTTTTAAGTTAACATAAGTAAAATTAATCAGAATCTAAAGAGAAAATTTGTATTCAGACCTGTGAAGTCAGTAATTGGTGGAAGTGTATTTGGCAGCAATTACAGCTGCAAGTCTTATTGGGTTTCTACCATCTTTGCAGACTGGCTTGGTACAGTGTTTGCTCATTCATGATAGATTTGTTCAAGCTCTCTTGGGTTGCTTGGGGATCACTTATGGACTACAGTTTTCAATACTTTCAACATATTTTCAATATGATTCAAGTCAGGGTTTTGCCTAATTTGCTCAAGGACATTCACTTTCTTATTCTTAAGGCACTATTGTGGCCTTGTCCTTTGGATCATAGTCCTACTGAAAGGTGAATTCTTGTCCTAGTTTTAAGTCTGAAACAGGTTTTCCTCTAAAATTTGCCATTACTTTGCTCCATTTATGTTCCCATTAGTCTTAACATGTTTGCCAGTGAGCTACGCATTACTGTTTGTTGGGTTTTTAGTCAGATGTAATGCTTTGAGATAGACTAAAAAAGTTCCAACCATGTTTTGTCTGAAACCATAATGTTTGCCACATCTTTGTAGATACAAGCTCACGTTGAGGAGGTTCCAGGGTATTGTTGACCAATAGACATTTTCTCCCATCTCAGCCACTGAACTCTGACCCTGCTCAGTTTGGAGGAACAGCCCAGGCAGTGACCACTTCTTAATGATCAACCTCACTATGCTCAAAGAGATATTAAGGGTATTTGAAATCTGCTTATTCCCTTCTGATTTAGCCTTTATACAACTGTCCCTGTGTTGTTTTGAAAGATTGTATTGGTTAGTGTGAAATGAGATATCTGTAATACTCTACTCTGTAATGCTCTAAATGATTTGATAAGCACTTTTCCCAGAAACTTTTTCAGGAATTCATCAGATTCCTACGGTACAAAAATATGAAACACTGCTTATAAAGTACTTCATACATTTACCCCTGTACTGTTTTTGTCAGAAGCTTTTTTTTCACCAAATGTATGCCTAGGACAAGAGAACCAAACTGAAGTTATTAGTTCAAGCTTAGACAACAAGATTTGCTGTTTGGCTTCGACAGCTGAGGAAAGATTATCACAGACTGGCACAGGGAACTGAGGACACCTAGTCCTCCCATGGTTTGGAGCTTGCAATTGGTGGATCTCTATTACATTTAAGGAATAAAGGGGTTAGAAATATCCAATTTTATTTTTATTTGAAACTTGAATTTGTAATATGGATAATGAAAAATGTTCCATAAGACTTTTATTCGCCAATGGTTCTGTTTAATGAAATTATTTTTAATTCAATTATACACTGTGCAGCACTATTTGGCAAAAAATGTTCAGACTTATTATACATGTGCTAACTTTGTTTGGCAAAGTTGTACCAATGCAAACTCACCTTTTTATTCTTCTGTCTTGTGTTTCTCCACTTGTCTGTCCATAAGAAGGTTTTGTTAGGCTTTTAAGAGATGTTTTAATAGAGAAGTGGAAAATGTATGTGTAAGGCCAATTGGTACCCTCAAAGTAGAAGAAAATGCAGGTTCCCATCAGTTACCCATGTGTGCCTTCAAAGGAAGATGTGTGTACTATTTTTAATACGTTCAGGAAGGACATGTGGTTTTTATTACCTTCTTTGTAACAAAATCTAGGCATGATATTCATTTTCTCCTTTGTGTTTGCTTCATTTTATCCTGAAAGGGTGACTTTTTATTGTTTTATGTTCTACATCTGCATTTCTATCAATAAAACTGGATACCAGTGTATAAGGGAAGAAAAGAAATTGGCAATCAAAGCAGTAGTTTTTAATGTAAGAAAGAGTCTTATTTTGTCTGTAGCATAATTCTATTAAAATAATTATAACTATCATAACCTACCACTGTCAGGTTATAGGAACAAGAGTTATTCAACAGAACCATCATTTCTAGGCTGTGAATTATTTGAATCCTTTTTGTAAATATGAATGTGAATTTCTAAATCCATATGAATTAGTAGCAGATTTAATACACAGACTAAATGGTGTGGGCTTTGTTGTTTGTATTTTGTTTTATCTAGTGTAAGACATAAGAATATCGCATTTACTTTTTTTGATGTCTAAGAGAACATGCATTTTAACATGCTTCCATTGAATGAGCTGTTCTAGGAGGTTTAATCTACTCTTATCCGAAGTCTGCTAAACAAAAGTGTAAGAGTATATTGCATTGTGGGAACAAGAGTCTGCTTTATGTTTTGTTACCGAACACCCCCATATTGACTGACTCTGCCTCACAGCATTTTAAACACATGCTGGTGCAGGATTCAAAGAGTCTGAAACTGGAGTGAAACCTATAAGCTCTGAAAAAGTGGGTGGTCAAGGGAACTAGAACTGAACAGCTGGTATGAACCCTCTGAACTTTGTCATTCATTAATAAATTATTTTTGGGTGCCATCTGGAGAAGGAGAGCAATGCCATAAAGTGTGGAGCCTGTATGGTAGAGTTAGTCTGAGCCTGGCCTCATATTTCAGCATTTCTCTTCTTGTGCCAGACTTCTGGAAAGAAAGAGACAGGCACATTGAAATAAAGAGAGAAAGAAGGGTACAATGGTGTATACTATCATGCTGTTAATATGCCATCTACTAACAGCTTACTGCTGATTTAATTAACACTTTCAGCATTCCCACCTTTTATAAGCAAAATGTTTGTTTTTGCTTTTTTTGGCATTTATAACATGCAGCCACATTCACTGCTTCAAGGCTGTTTTCCTGTTTTGTAGGAAAAAAAACGTTTTATGGGTTTAAATTATTTGATAGTCTATAAATAAAATCTGAAATGTAAATGTTGGCATTGTGCAAATTATCAAACAAAGCATCCCTGTGGAAAGGCACTTAAATACACCAACATATTTGATCCTTATGTTATACATAGAGAAATAAACAATCATTTTTAAGGATATAATATTTAAACTTATTTTAAAATAAAATTAGATTTACTTAGCTCTTGGACTTTCATTTAGAATCTACTGAGTAGTGTCACTACCGCCCCTCAGGTTATGTTGTTTGTAGTGCAACGAAAAGCATGTCACGTTTTTGTGATTCTTGGTTAAATGACCATAACTGACAATTTAAATGACCTCCAGTGAGGTCTAATTGAGGAAATTATTAATTGAGTACATTAAACATTCTTCCATCATGATTGTGTATCAATTGTGTTACAATTCTTCTCACACAACGTTTTCTTAAACTTTACTTATGCTATATAGATCTTAACAAAATGCTCCCTTTATGAATCTTGACAAGACTGAATTCTTATGGGTCCTGACTGGTTTGATCCATCTAGCAGTGGTCCTCATCCTTTGTCCTGAGGGACACCTGTGTCTGCTGGTTTTCATTCCAACTGGGCCCTTAGCTACTGATGCTAAATGATGTATAAAGTTGATCTCCTTGTTTGAATTTTGCACACTCAGATGCTGGCTTCTGAAATACTCCATTTAAAGTATATAGTTTCCCATAACATCTTTTCCTCAACTTGCTTACTAAGAATTTGCCTCTTTATTTCTGACTAAAATACTCTCAGAAGATGACCAGATTAGGGATAAACAGAAACAGCTGGAAATTACAAGTGCACCACAAAATATCACGGTGAGTGTTTGTTCATTCCATCTGCTCAAGAGCTGTTGTTTACATTTTAGCTAACACACCTGAATGAGGGAAGTTCTGGAATTTGGGATTTGGCTCAGGATACAATACCAAACCCAATTAATTACAAACCCCATACAACTTTTTAGGTAAAAGAACTCAATTTGTGTTTAAGAACTTGCCTGGGCATGAAGAGAGACTGGGTCCCCAGAAGGAGGGTGGAGACGCACTGCTATACAAGCTATATTGCTAGTAGTCAGAACTCATGTACTTTAAGACTTTGATTTTAGGCCTTGCTTAATGTCCACTTTAATTCTGTTGCTTTTCTTTTTAATATTGCTATTTCTAGGTAACTAAACTTATAATGGTCTTTGTACATTGGTCATTAACAGGGGTGCTAAGTCTTGCATTTCACAGTTTGTTACTTTTGGCATTCTCTTAAAATTTTGATAGCATCTTTGCTCCTGCCAATAATGTTATTCAGCTATGATTATATATATATATGTATACAGTATGTAATGCTAAGGTTTATGTTTAGATATTTGTTCAGCTTTCTCCGTATTCAGTTCAAGACTTTAAATAAGGTGGCAGACTTGGCTGTCATAAGCATGTGACAAATGGTGCCAAAATCTGAAAAATACATGGAAAATAGAATTGGCTTCAGGGTGTTAAATGAAAAGTTGAGATGGTGTTAGATGCCAGGCTTTTCTTGTGCCAGGCTCTAAGTCGCTATACTGCATCTACAAATCCCTTCCAGTAATTTAATGATAGTTTTCTAACATTTTCACTTAGGTGACAATTAAAGGACACATGCTTTTAGTTTTATTTTTGGTTCTTAAATAGGTTTAGATACATTTCAAAATCTTTGATTACAAAATAAAATGTTTAAAGTCCAAGAAAAACAGATTTCATACCTAGCTAGAAAAAACAAATCTCTTAATAATTTGCTGTAGGATGTAGTATTTTGTTTTTTGCTTTTTACACTTTAAAAACAATCCCTTGAAGGCAAATACAGCACAAACAACTCTATCTGATTTTTTAATACACAGCTATACAACATATTCAATTTATTTCCCAATACTGACATATTACCAATATGCAGTATCCTTCCATCAACAGGTTTCATACTAAATACTAGCAACAGACAATGTAAACTTTTGAATTTGCTGTTTTTTTGGAAATCATAGTTCCATTATGCTCATTACAGAATTTGTGCCACTCACCCCATCCACCCATAGCAAAATGGTTTGTATTAATAATTGAATTACAGAGATGTAATTCAAGCACAAAATATGAAATCCTAAAGTCAGTCTAGCAACTATTTCATGCTCAGAAGTGAAACAGGGACATGGGGTCAGAATCATTTCAACTAACTAAACAACTAAAAATAATTTAAGACTGTAAATAGGAAACATCTCTTTACACAACAGGCATCCCAGCCAGATGCTTGAGGACCAAACTCTAGGGTTCGTTCAGGAAGTGGCTTGATGAAATTTTAGATTCACTTAACTACTGAACTACCAAAATGAGCAAGTTGAGTCAAATGACCTTTTGTTTGTAGGCTTTCGTATGCTCAGAATAACATGACTTGAGAACCCGAATTCCTTTTGATTTGCAGTGTTAAATTAGGCAAAAAAGTTCAGATTCAGAAAGCAGAAAATAAACTGTTGTTCCTCTGATAAGAGATTAAACAGCAAAAAGAGGGAAACGTCTTTACCTGGCATTTACTCATGTTTGTGGCATAGTAGAGGGTAGCGTGGTTTTCTCCTGAAACATGAAAAAAGCCGTTTGGAAAGTAAAAGACCTTCAAAGAAATAATATGGGAATTGTGAGGATGTGTTATGCTAATGAGGGCTAAGAAAATGGCTTTTCAAGTTGAGGTTATTACCCTTTTCAGATTACTTTTAATCAGGTTCTAACAAAGGACTCAAGCTCACTACGTGTAAAGGATTGGTAGCTCATTGGATTTCCATCCAGCTCTGAGCCTTTTATCTCTCTCACAGTAGCAGCCTAGCTTAATGGTGTCTGAAAGTCACTGTGGGATGAAGTAGTGGGGGGATCCTGGAGCTGGATGATGGTGAGTGTTAAAGCTCCAGCCTCTGCCGTGTTGTTCCTTTTAGATATGTACTGTATGTGATTTTGTCTGGTGTTTTAGCTGAAATTTGAGTTAGGTTTGGGAAGCCCACAAAAAAAAATAACAGCCAACAATGCAAACATCAGATGTTACAGTTAAAAATATGATAGTCATAAAATTAAGTAGCAAGTTGCAGATATTTCTGCATATTATCTCTCTTTATATCGTATGCAGTATATCTTTATACATACAATATTAAAGTCAAATTGATATTTTTAAGATTAATTTTTCAAGGTAGGAAATAGTGGTTGGCAGTCATATCATTATTTTCAAATTATGCATCTTTTAACACAGTTAAGAGAACATTGTTTAAAGAACTTATTACCAAAGAAGGCTTGCTACAGAAAGCTTTCCACAATAGTGAATATCTAAATGTAAACTCGTTAAAATAGTTTTTAAGAGAAAAATCACAGCTCTTGATAATTGTTTTTGGTGCTATTTTGTTATTAGTTCACAATCACTTCTGCCTTAAAATATGCATGATCAGTTCAGGATTTGACTGCAGCTGCAGTTGATTTAAATACTTTAATGTTTGTAAGAATGTAATACTTTACCAACACCAAGATATCCAATGAAGAAAGAAAATATCTTCCATATGAATCTTGTGATTGCCTGAACATTTTGCTAGCCTCCTGTGCTAAAAGTGTATATACAGTAAGTAGGTTTTTAGCATTTGAATGCATACGTGTATCTAGGGTTACCAGTTTTTATACTTTTGTTATCACTGTAACAATTTTGTAAACATAGGTGTCACAGTTGAGCACTTCATCTTGATTCTGTATTGTTTCTGTGACAACTAGGAAAAACAGCATGTCCACTTCAATTCACTGTAGTGCAGTCGAGGTTAACAAAACAAAAAGAATGAATGTACAACAAATGAAAATAGAGATATATACACATACATTATTGTAACAGATAGTAGTATGAATATTATTCTACTTTGTGCCCATTGCTTGCCAGGATAGGCTTCCCCGTGACCCTCTATTGGATAAAGTGGTTAGAAAATGGATAGGTGGATAGTATGATATTCATTACGCTGTATAGGAAATAAAAACTGTCCTTAATTAGAATATTTTCTATTAAAGGATGTAAAGCAGGATGAAAGTCCGCAAGAATGTGAGTTATGTCTCGTGTTGCTGTGAATTTTTACAGTATGCAGTGCAATCTTCATTTTATAGTGTATTTATAGTTTAATTGGACAAACAAAACAACAGCATTTCAAAATTGCACAACTGTCTCGAAAAATATGTCAAACATTAAATGTAAACAGAATAAAACCTGATCTTCTACTTTAATGTAATGGCATGTTTGGGGGGTCAGGTATGCTCTGTGAATAAAATGTAAAAAAAAAAAATCTGATGTTTCAGTTTTGGGAATCTGAATTTGTAATATTCCATATTTTGTCCTAGGACATTTCTTCATCTGTAGCATGTAAGTCCCTGTTCCAAATAGTTTAACACAGTGGTTCTCAAACTTTTTGGACCAAGTACCACCCCTAATCCAACCAAAGCATCCAAGTACCACCTACAAGTCATCATCTCATAGGAATCCCAGAAATTCTCAATGACCAACATGGGCGCTCGTGCACACACACTCACACATACATATAATAAATATTATAATAATAAACTTTATTTGATATAGCGCCTTTAAAGGTGGCTTCTCAAAAGTGTTTTACAGAAAAAAAACATTAACAACAACTAATAAAAAAGCACCATTTCAGTGAGAGGGGTGAGCCTGTTTAGTTGAGCAAAGCTGATGTGAATTAATTTTTCGAGCCTTGATACAATTCACAACAGAGTCTAACAGATATTAAATCGTCAGGCATTTTCTTGACGGCAAAGGTCTCGCGGTGGATGTTGTAATGCGTACATTCATTTCTGGAGCAACCTCTCTAATTCGTGCAACTACACCATTATGTCGGCTTGTCATTGCTCTAGCACCGTCTGTACAAACTCAAACGCATTTTATCCAGTCGAGGCCATTCTCTTCGATAAATTCATTCAGAAGCTGAAATATGTGCTCTCCTGTAGTTCCTGTTGAAAGCGGTTTACAGAACAGAAAGTCCTCATGGGACATACCCTCAAACTGGTATCTAACGTAAACGAGCAAATTGGCCAAATCGACTACAGACTCATCTAATTGCAGTGAAAAACATCTGCTCATCTTAACGCACTCTATCAGTGTACTTTTGATATAATCCTTCATTTCAATAATTCTATGAATGACTGTGTCTTTCAGGGGGGCAGCAGGTCGAGCTGTTTAGCAGCTTTTTCTCTACACATAATACGTGTCAGCTCTTTTGCCACAGTAAATAAGGTTCTTCAAACATAGTGTAGCTTACCTGCTTTAGCAATCCGCAAGCTTGCATTTTTCCGCGTTTCCATTTTTATTTCCGTATTTATTTAAAGTTTTTATTTTATGCGCATGGGAGCGAAACAGAGACACTCGGTGTATTTTTCTCAAATTAGAACAGTTCTTAAATATTTTTCTGTTATCACGCTTTCGTGTGGTCACAAGATTACCTGCGTTCTTGCACGTATTTCTATGCATTCCTGTGTTTACAACGTTGGCATTGTTCCAAAATCACGCACGTTCTCCTTTCTCCCTATTTGCTGGAGATACAGTAGCTTTTTTTAAATACAATTGGTCACTTGCATCTGTAGCACGCATTCCTATAGAGTGGTATAGAATCACAGAGTATCTCTTGTGTCCACTGAAGTATTAGTGCGCACTGTATCGTAGTACGTAGGCTGCATATTCGACACGTATTAAAATACAAAATATAAAAACCCATCCTTATTTTTCAGCGCACACGACACAGTCCCAGGGTCATTTGGCATACCACCTGGCGGCACTCCACGTACCACTGCCGGTACGCGTACCACAGTTTGAGAACCACTGGTTTAACAGACTCTGTCTGTTAAGGTCTTCTAACAAACTAACATGGACAGAAGAAACCAGTTTCTTTGCTTTCTCCCTGACGACCAACAGATTACACATGCATTGCAAAGTGAAAATATGAAAAGGGAAAAAAGGAGCCAGGTAGCTTGTACCAAGATTGCAGGTTCTAGAACAAGTGAAGCCATTCTAATTAAAAATAACTGCTGCCATGTGAATCCCTTTATCACCCCAAAGTGAAGCAGAGGAAGGGGAACTACTTGTAAGATTTCTAAATTTGTAGGGTGTGAATGTCATATTTTTCTGAATTTTAAAAGTCCACCGGACACCAAGTTAATGGTGGCAGGCTAAAATGTATAAATTAAATATTTGAACTGTAATGTTTTATTTGAATTTTTATTTATTACATATACAAAGGAAGTAGGCAAACAATGAATACACCACTGAAAAGGCACTTAATAGAGATTTGGGCCACCATGTGCAGCCAGTACATCTTGTCTGCTCCATGACAAGGAGTCTACATACTGTATACCTTGAATTCAGCAGGAGGGATGCGGCATCATTCTTCTGCAAGAAGCCCAGTCAACTCACTCCTGGTTTATAGAAATGAAAAATGCTATCTCCATGCTGTCATTGCCTTAGATACCATTGCTCAGGAAACATCAGATAGTTGCATCGTGGTCAGTGAAGCTCTGCCAAACTTGCTTCACCAATAACCCTTCTTTCACTCTTGTGCAAATCACTGAAGTCTCTTCTTGTAACCATACTTGCTATAATTTTACGCAAACAGCTCTATACTTTTTTATACTTAACCCTAAGCATGTTCGAATATTAATTGATATAATATGATAATGTTTTTAACACATGAGCCGCACCTGTGCCTTCAATATACTTGGTATCTCTCAATTACCCAGGTGTTCCCATTTTTTTTAGGTTGTTTGTGTACATTTCACAATTTGTTTATCTGTGATGCAGGAATACAAGTATGGCAGTTTGTGTATGTGAAGAGAGCACAAGTGCTTTACAGAACACATTTGCTTTACATTTCCTCGATACAGTACATTATCAATCAGGATGCTTGCTACTGCCTATAATTACCGTATTGTTATTAAAATGGAAAGTAGATAGTATATATTCTTTTCTAGGTCATATTTGTAGCTTTTTTATTTTTTCCTGCAATTTGAAAGGGAACACCCTGTCTTTAACCTTAATACGCATTTGAAATTCAAATGAACAATTTAAAATTCAGCTGTCTAGACTGCTATCCATACGTGATAGCACTCAGTCACTTTTATTAACCATTCACTTTGAAGCTAAGAGACCCAAGCTTGCCTTTCAGAGCTCTCAGACATCAGTGTGCCAGCAAGCCCTGCCTCCTTCTTTATTGGGAAAGATGACTACTGCTGACTCGCTGTACTCAGCTTAAGGTGGACAATTAAATTGCAGGTGCACAAATGCCTCATTGTAAGCACCATGGGAGAGTTAATGGATAACTCCTTTTGTGTTCAGGCTTTCAGGCCTCTCTGTTGGATTTCTTTTTGAAGAAAACCTAGTCCTCTTTTTGTTTTTTATAAACTGTTCACCCATGTGCTTATACATGCTGGCATTTGCTCTATAGCAGGACTTGTGTTTGAGTAAGGGATAGAGCAATTAGGATTGGTCTTCTCTGTGATAGAGATGCACACCCCAAATTACTGCAGAGACTGCAGGGCAAAAAAGATTGTTCCTAACT